GTGAACTAATATCCTAAGAAACCATCTTAAATTAATACGATTTTCAGGCTCCTTATACGTTAGCAAAGGGAGGAAGAAGGAGGTGGTTGACGTGAAGAGGTCTGACAGTGACAGACTTATGGGCTGCAGTGAGAGCCCAAGGGGATGGTAAAAATTCTTTGTCTTTTGTCAGGTCACACTGCTCTTATAAATCTTCAACATAACACTGTTACTTGTGTATACCACCTCTCTGCCTTCTCAGGAGTTAGTCTGGGGAAGGGATTATTACCATCTGTGCTTTAAAGTTAAACTGTAAGCTAAATCCCTCCCACAGATAGCTTGGCCTATGTGCAGAAATAAGAAAAAGCTGTTAGCCTGAAAGATATCACCACAGGGTAGGAAGGATTAGGAGCAAAATGCAGTTATTCATGCTAGGCCTCCTTTTCATTGTTATATATTTAATTTATTTGAACTCATAATTTTAATTTTTCATACTTTTTTTTTTTTTTTGAGACAGTCTTACTCTGTCACCTCCCAGGATGGAATGCAGTGGCACGATCTTGGCTCACTACAACCTCTGCCTTCCAGGTTCAAGCGATTCTGCCTCAGCCTTCTGAGTAGCTGGGATTACAGGAGCCCACCACCATGCCAGGCTAATTTTTGTATTTTTAGTAAAGACAGGGTTTCACCATGTTTTCCAGGCTGATCTCAAACTCCTGACCTCGGGCTCCCAAGTTCTGAGATTACAGGCATAAGTCACCATGCCCAGCCTAACCAAGATTATTAAACCATTCGAATTTGTCAAAAGAGTCACACTGATTTTTAAAAAATAATGTAATGGGCTGGGTGCGGTGGCTCACACCTGTAAACCCAGCACTTTGGGAAGCCATACCGTGCAGATCACGAGGTCAGGAGTTGGAGACCAGCCTGACCAACATGGTGAAACCCCATGTCTATTAAAAATACAAAAATTATCCGGGTGTGGTGGTGTGCACCTGTAAACCCAGCTACTCAGGAAGCTGAGGCAGGAGAATCGCTTTAACTCGGGAGGCAGAGGTTGCAGTAAGCCGACACCGCACACTGCACTCGTCTAGGTGAGAGAGTGAGACTCCAACTCAATAAATGACACTCCAACTCAATAAATAAATAAATAAAGTAATAACATAATGAACTTGTTCATCTCTTTATACATTAAATATTTACATTATTTAAATTGTTCAAAAGCATCAAAAATTCCTCTCTGCTATCAACTTCATTTCGTTTATTTTATTGTACCAAACTATGAAGACCATTAATTTAATCTACAGCTAAATCTATTATTTTTTCATGTTAGAAATTCAACAAGAAAATTTTTCCCTATTGAAACTTCACATTTCACGCATAAGTAGGCTGGGCGAGGTGGCTCACACCTGTAATCCCAGCACTTTGGGAGGCCGAGACAGGTGCATCACTTGAGGTCACGAGTTTGAGAACAGCCTGGCTAACATGGTGAAAACCCATCTCTACTAAAAATATAAAAATTAGCTGGGCGTGGTGGCATGCACCTGTAATGCCAGCTACTCTGGAGGCTGAGGCAGGCAAATAGCTTCAACATGGGAGGCGGAGCTTGCAGTGAGCTGAGATCGCACCACTGCACTCCAGCCTGGGCTACAGAGCAAGACGCTATCTCAAAAATAAATAAATAGGCCAGGCGCGGTGGCTCAAGCCTGTAATCCCAGCCCTTTGGGAGGCCGAGGCGGGCGGAACACGAGGTCAGGAGATCAAGACCATCCTGGCTAACATGGTGAAACCCCATCTCTACTAAAAGTACAAAAAATTAACCCGGCGTGGTGGCGGGCGCCTGTAGTCCCAGCTACTCAGGGGGCTGAGGCAGGAGAATGGCGTGAACCGGGAGGCGGAGCTTGCAGTGAGCCGAGATGGCGCCACTGCACTCCAGCCTGGGCGACAGAGCGAGACTCCGTCTCAAAAAAAAAAAAAAAAAATTGGTAGAGACGGGGGTTTCACTATGTTGCCCAGGCTGATCTCCAACTCCTAACCTCAATTGATCCTCCCTCCTCAGCCTCCTAAAATGCTGGGATTGCAGATATGAGCCACCATACCTGGTTTCATTTACTTATTTTAATTTTATTTAAGTCATTATTATTATTATTGTTCCTAAGATAATTGGGGCAGTGACTCCTTTAACATTTTGGAGACCTAATTTTTCTATTCACTTCACTGAAAGAGTATGGCAATTTGTTTCATGAGAAAATATCCTGTATTTATAAAGCAGGAAAATTCCTTCCACCAAACTAGGGGGCATTCTCAAGAAACCAATAGTGCTAAGTAACATCACTTCAGGTGAAAAGAGAGGCAATGGTATCTATTAACAATGTTTATCAGTGAAGGAAATAAACTGAAAAATATGAACATCATTAGATCCTTGGAGGGCCTTCATTGCTGAAAATCTGAGTAATATTGTGATACCCTTTTGAGTCGGGCAGGACATTCTCTTTCTAGGGCATGTAACAGTGGGTGAATAGTTTCTTTTCATTCATTTTCATTAAGGGCTGAACTTCCTTAATGTTCCGGAGATTATTAAATTTGATTTGTATGATTGTGAAAAGTGCTTATATTGCTGATTCCATTGCTTTTATGTGATCATATAAATCTTTTCTCTCCTTTCTGTAGTGTGGTTTAAACTTAATCCTTAAAGGACATGTATTTTAATTTTTTAGCTGGTTAGAAACCTAAATATACCAATCAAAGAAAACTGCTCCTTACATGCTACAGATTTAGCTTTCTTCCTGTACTAAGATGTCTTTTAGATATAGTAAATTTATTCAAGCCAAGAGCTCCTTTGGAACAAAGTTGGGTGGGAGGGGGGACATTGAGTAGTAACATCACTCTTGTAATAGAGATGCCACTCTTGCAGATATTGACAACCATTAGGCCCATAAAATTTTTACCAAATATTGGAAAGACAAGATCTGAACAACTTATCATTGCTGCAGTCTCAAGTATCAGGAAATGCCATTATTCTCAGGACAATAACAGACCAGATTAGCTGTCATGTATCACCAAACAGGGACTAGATCCTTGTCAACACGACCCAACAGAGACTGTCCCCAGAAATTCACTTCATAACCTCAAAACCAAAAACCCACACGGATGGCAAAAAATAATGATGCAACAATGAGAGAGAGAGACAGAGAGACACGTGTTCTATAGCCATACTTGGTAAAAGTCAAAGAGCTCATTTTCTGCTCATGATACTTAATAGAACATAGGGAACCCGAGCCAATAGCTCAGTGGGTTCAGATCTGCACCAAGTGCCTTTTTTTTTTAGACAGACTCTCACTCTGTTGCCCAGGCTGGGGTGCAGTGGCACGATCACTGCAACCTCCGCGTCCCGGGTTCAAGCGATTCTCCTGCCTCAGCCTCCCGAGTAGTTGCGATTACAGACACACACTATCACAAAACCAATTAGATACTTGTGGGAGTTAAAATGAGATGAATTTACAGTGTCATTTGAGAAGGGGTATTAAGGAATCTGCCAGGGTACTGACCCGTGTCAGGTGTAAACCGCAGGTTGAGCGAGAGCTAAGTATTTTATGTCCATGAAGGTGATAAGCGAGGGCCTGAAGAGAGACGGACAGGGGAGGACACTGGCACCAGAAATAGGAAAGGGCTGCTTGGAGGTGGGAAGGATGGGTCGGGGTGCTATCTAGAAAGTTGCCTGGCAATGGATCTAGGATGTGTAAGCGAGACCTCAAACAAGAAGCTGTCGCTTAAATAAAGTCTGAAGAAAGACAAGATATGCAAACGGCAGGAGATAGTAGGAAACTGGACCCGGCTCCACATAAAACTTCCCGCCTTATACTTCAGGGAGGATCGCAGCGCATTTAGGTGAAGACAGGTGAGACTGCGGTTCTGACCTGCGGTCCTGGATGAATATGCGCTAGGGCACCTGGGCGCCGGCAGAGCCGTTCCCCTACGCAAAGTAAGTGTGTTATGTCTACAACCCAACGGGGACAGTAGAGGCCCAAAGGCCCTAATTTCTTTCCGAAGAACAGCGCCCCTCTGCGTAGTTTCTTTTTTTTTTTTTTTTTTTTTTTTTTTTTTTTTTTTTTTTTTTTTTTTTGAGACGGAGTCTGGCTCTGTCACCCAGGCTGGAGTGCAGTGGCGCGATCTCGGCTCACTGCAAGCTCCGCCTCCCGGGTTTACGCCATTCTCCTGCCTCAGCCTCCCGAGTAGCTGGGACTACAGGCGCCCGCCACCTCGCCCGGCTAGTTTTTTGTATTTTTTAGTAGAGACGGGGTTTCACCGTGTTAGCCAGGATGGTCTCGATCTCCTGACCTCGTGATCCGCCCGTCTCGGCCTCCCAAAGTGCTGGGATTACAGGCTTGAGCCACCGCGCCCGGCCCTCTGCGTAGTTTCTAACTGGCTCTAGGAGGTGAGAACACATTCCCCGCTAGCACAGAAATCCTACAAACTCCTGTGAGGGCTGCGGTTACAAGCAGAGGCTGTGTAAAAGGTGACTGGGGGAAAATTTTCACAGAGCATGATAACCCAAGAGACTGGAGACCTTGGACCAATCTCTGCAAAAAGCAGGCCCTCATAAAAAGGGAAGAGCTCTGCGGCCTTCGCGATACTTAACTTGTGTTATAAAGGATGATGCTTTTTCGCCTCCGGCAAAGAGATGACAAGTTACTTCCTATACCAAGACTTCCACCATAAAAATCAAACAACAAAAGACGCCACCAGCAGTACTAACCAGGACAACGAAATACAAGCCCTTATTACACAACCTATTTTTTAAGACCACCAAATATCAGGGGAAAGCGCGAACGCAGTCCCCCACTACCACAAATTATGCAGTCGAGTTTCCCACATTTGGGGAAATCGCAGGGGTCAGCACATCCGGAGTGCAATGGATAAGCCTCGCCCTGGGAAAACCACCTTCGTGATCACGGTATCTCCCCTGCCAGGTAAGTATGAGTTCTTACGCCTCTGCCCCGCCACAGCCTCATACGCCTCACCCTTTACACTCACGGTCACTTGCCACGCGCACTCCCGAGCCCTTCTAGCCCTGACAACACAGCTGGGATTCTCAGGTCCGACCAGCGTTCGTGAACCCGCTCCACGGCATGGAAACTCCTTCGTGGCGAAGCAGCAGGTGGCCAAGCAGCAGCCCCTGCTCTGCCTCATCTACATAGAAGTCGCCCTACTCGTGATGTCACCGACAGTGCCATTCCCAGTCCTCGTGTGCCTGTCTGTCACTCAGCCGCCCAATGCGCTGTAAGAGCCGGCAAGGGGAAGTGACGTCTGCGTCTCCCTTTTTGCCTCCCGCCCCGGCATCTGTTCACTCCCAAAGCAGCAGCTCCTTCGCCTGTGTTGCGGAGCAACCTTTCCGCGGCCAGATGGATCCTGCTGGGCACCCTTCTTCAAATAATGGCTTTTAATTCGCAAAAACTCCTGTGCGGAACGTTCGGTTCTCTTCACATCCTTATCCTTGTGATGTAGCATTCCGCTTGAAATTGGAAGCCGTTTAATATCAGAGAGAAACCGTATTTATGAAAGTAAAGAGGCAGGTCGGATGGCTGCAAACCAGCCTTCCTTACTGGTTTTATCACTGGTAATGTTATAAAGACAGTTGTCCAGTTTCATGAATCTTGTTGCTTGTTTTCCAAATTCAGGATTGTAGAAAAATATGCTGTCCCAGAAGAGATGGTTGGACACTCCCAAGCGTGGTGTTGGACTTTGTCATCTCTTGGGCAGCCATCTCCAGACCTTAGCCCTTACCTTGTGTTAGTTTTTTATATTCTGCAAAGACAAAACCAAAATAACCCAAATTTGACACAAATACCTGGGCTACATCTTATTTGAGATGTTTAACAAATGTCTGGATCATGTTTTCTTATATATTACGCAGGAAACACTGTGAAGTAAGCAAAGTTGGGCTGCTCAAGTCAAAGACCATTTGAATATTTACAAGTAGATTTCAGACAGGAATAATACAGGGTGGTCACAGGATAACAAATTGTAGGCAGTAGATTTACATGACTTGAGGCTGTGGGCTGATAAGAGGCTGGAAAACCAGGGTATGGACCAAGCTGGCTGAGACTAACTGGACCCAATGTGGTGCTGGATTGGATGGAAGTTTTACCTAGACCGTCATTATAAGCTCATTAACATGCTAAATCACACACCCACCACTGCCATGATAGTTCTGAGACCATTATTTGCTGTAAAAATGGATGGCGCCAGAGTTCCGAGAAATCTCCACCTTTACCCGGGAATTTTCATGAATATTCCACTCCTTGGTTAAAGAAACCCATCAAGATGAAACCCCAGAACCCATTGTTCTCTCTCCAGTATGCCCAAACTCCCCTTTCTTGAGTGTGTACTTTTTGCTTTGCAATAAATCTCCTTTCCCTATTTGCTGACTGATCCTTGACTTCATTCTTAAGGTGGTGTCAAGAGCCTGGACACCACAGCTGGGGTCGAGATCCCCCCAGTGTCTGGGGACCTCCCACAGCCCACCAGTATCAGATTCTATTCCATTGCTCAAATCACAAAACAACAAGTGGAGTGTTCTCCATGGAGATCATAAAGTAAAGATTCTGTGGCATGGTGGCCAGTTAGGCCACTGGAAGGCATGGCAGAATATTGAAAATGAGGGATTAGATGACAGTGTAGTAACTGCTGAATACTAAATACTTGATCCAGGCCCCATTCCCTGGAGATTGACAGGGAGACACATTGTCCAGGCAGTAGTGGATACCTTCTGGGTATCTGACCAGCCTTTGTGGAAAGAACTGGCACCATCCTGCAGATGTAACCGCCTGATGGGTTTTCCCTGTCCAGTATACACACAAAATCAATTCATGGAGACCATGGCATTGCAGTAAAGAGTTTCATTGACACAGGCCAGCCATGACATGTGGGAGAGAGAGTTGCTACTCAAATCAATCTCACTGAAGGCTTGGAGGTAATGGGTGTTTCAGATAGTTTGGTGGGGAGGGGGCTGGGGCTTGGGCGGTGCTGATTGTCAGGGATGAAATCACAGGGATGTGGAAAATGGCCCTCCGGCATTGAGTCAGCTTCTGGGTGGGGGCTAAGGGACTGGTTGATTTTCAGGCCAAATGGTGCCATCCAGTAGTCAGAAATGCAAAAGCCTGAAAAGACAACTCAAGAGGCCAATCTTAGGTTCTACAATAGTGATGTTCTTCACAGCAGTTATTGGGGAAGCTGCAAATCTTGCGACCTGTGGAATAATGGCTGGTAATTATTTAACGAGGCATACATCTTAGTAGAATTCACGCCTCTTTCATCCTTCTAACTTGGTGGCCTTTCATGAGTTTTACAGGGGTAATTTAGTTTTGGGGAAGGTTATCATTTAAACCAACCTTTCTGGCTGTCCCCAACCTTTTTGGCACCAGGGACTGGTTTCACTGAAGACGATTTTTCCATGGAAGGGGGTGGTGGATGGTTTCTGGATGAAACTGTTCCACCTTAGGTCATCAGGCATTAGTTACAGTCTCATAAGGAGTGCGCAATCTGGATCCCTCACATGCACAGTTCCCAGTAGGGTCCGAGCTCCGATGACCATCTAATACTGATGCAGATCTGACAAGAGCTCAGGTGGTAATGATTGAAGGCCTGCAGCTCACCTCCTGCTGTTCGCCTGGGTTCCTAACAGGCCATGGACCAGTAGCTGTCTTGTGGCCCTGGGGGATGGGGACCCCTGATTTAAACTATAAACTCAAATTTTCCCAACAACAGCTTGGGAGAAATTGCACAGGAACAAGCAAAGCCAGCTAGCCTGTGAGGCTAGAACCAAGATGGGGCCAGCCATGTCAGCTTTCTCTTATTGTCATAATTTTCCAAAGGTAGTTTCTGAGGGACTGCACTGGACACTTGTTAAAAACATCAGACAGATTTTATTGTATGTACTACAATAGGCAAGACAGGCCAGCAGAGAACTGAGCTCAACCTCAAATACAGCAGGAGGAGTTGAAGATTATAGCCAACTGGCAAGATAAGAAAGTCAGTGGGGCCAGGCGCGGTGGCTCAAGCCTGTAATCCCAGCACTTTGGGAGGCCGAGACGGGCGGATCACGAGGTCAGGAGATCGAGACCATCCTGGCTAACATGGTGAAACCCCGTCTCTACTAAAAAAATACAAAAAACTAGCCGGGCAAGGTGGCGGGCGCCTGTAGTCCCAGCTACTCGGGAGGCTGAGGCAGGAGAATGGTGTAAACTCGGGAGGCGGAGCTTGCAGTGAGCTGAGATCCGGCCACTGTGCTCCAGCCTGGGTGACAGAGCGAGACTCTGTCTCAAAAAAAAAAAAAAAAAAAAGAAAGTCAGTGGATGGAAAATTACTAAGAGGAACTTGATTAGCTATCAAAAGTGGTTGGGAGGACTTTTGCTAAACTAGACTCAACAGTATTCTTTTCTAAAACTGGACTTGGCAGGCCAAGAACTAACAGAGAAAAGGGCTCAGAGGAAACTACTGAGGTGTGGTGAAAGATGGAGTCCTTGTCAACTCTACACTGAAGCTTCTGCAAATAAACAAAGACCAATCAAATAGAAAAAAGCAAAGGCTATTTATTCCGAGCTTGCTATACCAGGGAGTCAGTCACTGTGACTTGTGTTTTGGCAGAGACTTGAAGGCAGTCAGGAGGGTGGGAAAGCTTTTTAAAAAGAAAGGCTTCGAGTACGCTTGGACTGGAGGCTGTCAGCATGGTGAAGCTGTAGATAGATGAAGAAAATAAAAATATTTTACCCCAGAATGTATTTCTTTGGCATATTTTAAGATGGCTGTCAGAGAGCCAGCAAACAGAATTAACTCTGCAAAACTGTCTTTTGTAGGAGAAGTTTACACCTGCAGAGAATCTTCATTAATCCAGCCTTACCTTGTCAGGATTGAGAAATAAAAATAAGCCCTAGGCCCTACAACCAACTGAACGGACTTTTTCTAGAGAAGGTTCTACTGCATGGGGAATATTTATATATATGCAACAAAAGGTATTTGCCACCACACACACATCTCCCTGCTTAGCTAAATATGTCATCTAAAGTCATGTGATTGTCTAGTACAACCTTAGCCAGTGAATAAATAGCTTTTTATTGAGCTGCATAAGAGGCCGCAGTTTCATCAGCAATGTATTTCTTTCTTTTTCTTTCACAGTGTCTGGCTCTGTGGCCCAGGCTGGAGAGCAGTGGCACCATCATAGCTCACTGCAGCCTCGAACTCCTGGACTTAAGTGATCCTCTTGCCTCGGCCCCCAAGTCACTGGGATTACAGGCCAGAGCCACCATGCCTGGTTTTCATCAGCAATGTTTCCTGAGGTTACAGATATTTTTAATCCTGGGAGGAAACACTCCCTTGAAGCAAAGGTGTTCACTCCCCAAAAATGCAAGGAGCTATCTTGTTGATAGCCAGGCAGATAATTCTCAGGTTTTGCCCCACAGACTCTCTAAAATGGCACAGTGGTCATGCCTAGTGAAGAGTTTGAGGGAAGTCGCCCAATGTTGGGTTTTTCAGAGCTATATATATACATCCTAAAGGACACTGTCCCTTCATCATTCCATGCTGTTAGACATTTATAGGGCCATGGATGGTGATCTCCTACAGACTAAAATAAATGCTGTTGCAGAACAGGTAAACGTACTACAAATTGAGTACATCAGTTTTGGGGCATTTTAAACCATGAGTCAGACATGCTAGAGGGAGAGGGCAGGTTGATAGCAAGAGGGAGTGTTTTAGCAAGAAGGGGTGTTTTAATTTTCCAATAGCAAAGTGATGTTTGCCACTGTCATTTCAGCGTGAGGGGACAATTTGTTGTTGTTTGGTTTTGTGGATTTTTTCGTTTTTTTTTTTGTTTTTGAGACAAGGTCTCACTGTCACTCAGGCTGGACTGCAGTGGCATGATCAGGGTTTACTTCTGCCTTGACCTCATGAATTCAAGCAAACCTCCTTACTAATCCTCCCGAGTAGCTGGGACTACAGGCACGTGATCTCACACCCTGGGGTGTGAACTGGGATTTGATGTTTTCAGTTGGCTCCCTAATGGAATAGATTCCCTTACTATTCTAGAATACAGATTCTCTTCATGATTATCATTCTCATGTACATTATATTTCTACTACCCTGCTAATTTTTTTTTTTTCTTTTTGAGACGGAGTCTCCCTCTGTCACCCAGGCTGTATTGCAGTGGCAGGATCTCAGCTCACTGCAACCTCCGCCTCCCAGGTTCAAGTGATTCTTTTGCTTCAGCCTCCTGAGTAGCCACCTGGCTAATTTTTGTATTTTTAGTCGAGACAGGGTTTCACCATGTTGGCAGCCTGGTCTCAAACTCATGACCACAAGTGTTCCACTTGCCTCGGCCTCCCAAATTGCTGGGATTACAGGCACGAGCTACCACGCCTGGCTCTCAAATCATTTTAAGTAAGCAAAGACAGATTTGTCTGGCTTTTTAGTACATTGCTGAATTATCCTCCAATCTATATTTTTAGGAAGGACCTGGGGAATGGCAACATGGAGATATTTGGCTAAAATGTGAACCTTTCATGTTCTGCTTCAGTCTCTGGTTTTTTGGTGTTGTTGTTGTTGTGTTTTTTTGAGATGGAGTCTCGCTCCTCGCCCAGGCTGGAGTGCAGTGGCACGACTTGGCTCACTGCAACCTCCGACTCCCGGGTTCAAGCAATTCTCCTGCCTCAGCCTCCCGAGTAGCTGAGATTACAGGCATGTGCCACCATACCCAGCTAATTTTGTATTTTTAGTAGAGACAGGGTTTCACCATATAGGCCACACTGGTCTCGAACTCCTGACCTTGTGATCCACCCACCTCAGCCTCTCAAAGTGCTGGGATTACAGGAGTGAACCGCCATGCCTGGCTTGAGTCAGGAGTCTCACTTTGTCACCCAGGCTGGAGGGCAATGGCACAAGCATAGTTCCCTGCAGCCTGCCTCAGTCTCCCTAGTAGCTGAGATTAGAGTCATGCATCATCATGCCCTGCCAACTTTAAAAATTTAGCTAATACTTAAAAATTTGTAGAGACAGGGGTTTCACTCTGTTGCCCAGGCTGGTCTCCAACTCCTAACCTCAATTGATCCTCCCTCCTCAGCCTCCTAAAGTGCTGGGATTGCAGATACGAGCCACCATACCTGGCTTAATTTTCTTATTTTAATTTTATATAAGTGATTATTATTGTTCCTAAGATAATTGGGGCAGTGATTCCTTTAACATTTTAGAGACCTAATCTGTCTATTCACTTCACTGAAAGAGTATAGCAATTTGTTTCATGAGAAAATATCCTATATTTGTAAAGCAGGAAAATTCCTTCCACCAAACTAGGGGGCATTCTCAAGAAACCAATTGTGCTAAGTAACATCACTTCAGGTGAAAAGAGAGGCAATGGTATCTATCAACAATGTTTATCAGTGAAGGAAATAAACTGAAAAATATGAACATCATTAGATCCTTGGAGGGCCTTCATTGCTGAAAATCTGAGTAATATTGTGATACCCTTTTGAGTTGGGCAGGAC